CTAAGATGAAAGATCTATTTTGTACAAGAATTCCATACAAAAACTTTTTTTTCGTTTTCTGAAGGACAACCCCCCTGAAATGGTCGCATATAATGGCTCAGTTATGCATACTTGGCATTGCATGAGATTTGTCACATAAGGAATCTGTTTAATAAGCTTTGCGTGTAAGCGGTTACCCAACGCACAACATTACATAGTATGAGAACTGTTGATTTTTGATTTATACGCTAAAATAATAGATATACTATGCAGTGCAGTGCAAGGTATGCATAACTGAACTATAAGGAGAAAAAATGTATTCTTTAACCCTCCGTTAGGCGCGTGGACTACATATGTAATCCACACATCTTTTAGCAGTGACCAATTAAAACTTGGCTTAAGGATGTCATTTTTCGCTTTAGTAGCTGTTGACAATATACAAAAGTACTCACTTAGTATAAAATTAAGAGGCTAGGCCCACGTTTATCCCGTTTAGCTCCAGTTAAACACGACTGGACTACAATTGTAGTCCACGCGCCTAATTACGTAACATTTTTTGCCGAGAGCACAATTTGGAAGTTTGTCTGTTGGAACATTTAGGTAAGTTTTATTATTCCAAAAAATAAATTTAAAATCCATAAAACAAATATTTAACTTTTCTTATTTTAAAATTTAGTATTTTCCATTGAATTTTGAGACTTTTTTACAGTATTAATTGAAATGAATTCGGGTTTATACATTTAAGTGTTTCCATAAATTAAAATTTACGTTGCGTTTTGTATTTGGCTGTTTTCGCATAACTAAGAATTTAAATTTGTTTTATAAGCAATTAAAAGACTACTCCCTACAACAAAAATTTTACTACAGAGAGTAATAGTTTTGTTTTGCATAGCTATTGAAATGTCTGATGCAAAAAAAAATACGTCTGGAACACAGCACAGATCCTGGTGTTTGGATGAAATGGTTCGATGAGCTTTCTAGCGAAGAGGAAAGTTCCATGGATGAAGAAGATGAAGATGAACTAGAGGACGATATTGTACAAAATAGCGATCACCAAACAGAATCGGAGCAAGAACTGTCTTCAGCTGAAGATCAAAGTATTATAGAGCCAGATGCCTACGCAGAGAGAGAACCAGATGATAACACTTTTTACCTTGGAAAAGACAAAACAACAAAGTGGAGAAAAATAAGGGCTAACTTGCAGGTACGCATTCGTTCCCTCAATATCATAAAATTGTTTCCTGGACCAAAAGGCAACGCTCGAAGTGTAGTTTCGGAGATTGATTGTATTCAACTTTTTCAAACTGACGATATTATTCAAAAGATAACTGCTTCAACAAATATATATATTGAAAAAATTAAAAACCAATTTCGAAGGGAAAGTGATGCAAGACTGACCAATGAAAAAGAAATAAGTGCCTTTATTGGAATTCTTTTTCTAATTGGAACCTTGAGAAGTTCTAGACAAAATGCTCACAAAATATGGGATAATTCAAGAG